GCAGCTTATGTGTTGAAGACCAGAGGCTAAACGTTGCTTGCAAAGGATTAGTGGCCTAAGATGTATGTCTTTCAAATGTTGCGATGGAAAGATCCCACGGGCTTGTAGGCGAGTTTGGTTCCTCAATGCTAGTTGGGGGTAGGGTGGAATTGGTGAAGCAAAGGAGAGTCCTCTTGTAATGGGGGAAAGAGGACAGCAATCTCACCAAGGACAGATGAACAGTCTGAATATTTAAAAGCGATTTAAGGTTCGTCTTGGCCTGTGTGATGGGTGGTTATCAGGGTTCCAATAAATAAACAAAAATAGACCCAAGAAGTCTGTTCACAACGGCTCTACATCACACATGTTTATCAACACAACTGTGTCATATTCACACTTTACATTTCTAGGTGTCCACACTCTTCTGAAAAGACTCCAGTTTGCAGTCCAGGCTTCTTCTTTAAGTTTATGTTATGTAAGACGCAGCGTCCCCCCGGCAATAGCAGCAACAGAATAGAACCGGCTGAAACAATATTACCCATCTTCACCATGAGAATGAAACCCTCGGCGACCCAGATTGTATCCAAGCAACCAGGAACTTTGCCAGTATGATGAACAAGACTTGCTACACATTTCCCCCTTATTCTTTTTGGGAGGACTGTTTTCATAAGAAGGCTAACGCACAGGGGAAACCATTATTGAAAAGAAGAATATTTATCTTTCTGCTGCTGTTGTCTAGAGTTGGAACGGACAACTTTTGGAAGAAACACAACCATAATCCTTCTCCTCATTTGACCCTTAACCTTTTACTTGTCAACTTACCCATATTGAGCCTTTATATATAGTATAGAAAATTTATTGACCACTGTCATTGCCCTATGCCTGTGAGAGCAAGTTTCATAGCTTAACTATATGCTGCACGATGAAGGACTTTCTTCTTTCTGTCCTGAATCTCCCAACATTCAGATTCAGCAGGTTGGGTAAGGGCCTGGAACAGACCAATATCATGATAATCTGACTCAGTAGAAGACACACACTTATTTAATTCAGCTCTTTATTCAGAACCATGAGGATTAGAATTTACTTCATCTTTGGGAGAAGGTTCATAACTCAACGATGCTTTGCATGTAAAAGGCCGCAGGCTGAATCTCTTGCATCTCCACTAAACACCAAAGCAATATATAATTTGCTGCACGTGTGGGATGAAGTGGGAGTCGGAATTCAGGCAACATGCAGGACTTGCACATCTCTAGACTGAATGCACTGAACTATGGAATTCTGGGAGGGTACCTGTCAAATCTCTTTTGAGAAAGGATTTCACAGCATGGATCTGCTGGCACTAAATCAGGCATCCCCAAACTCAGCTCTCCAGCTGTTTTGGGACTACAACTCCCATCATCCCTAGTTAACAGGACCAGTGGTCAGGGATGATGGGAATTGTAGTCCCAAAACAGCTGGAGGACCGAGTTTGGGGATGCCTGCACTAAATGCTCACCTTCTAGTTGAAGGTAGTCTTCTGAAATGGAGAGGACGGGGGGGGGGACAACTAGCAGCACTCCTCCAGATGATCCCAGTGACTGAGCTGGGATTTAAGGGTTCAGGTGGTCCTGAAGGTATCCGGACCCCAAGTTGTTTAGGACTTTGTATAGTAATACAAGAACCTTGAACCTAGCTTAGTAGTAGACGGGCAACCCGTGTAGGAATAAGGCTGCTAGACATTTTCCAGAGATTTAAGGGTCTATGAAAGATTACAGAGCCACCCAGAGCTTATCGCGCAAGAGAAGAAGATGTGATGTTCTCCCAATTGCTTTTCTCTCACCCTTCCTCTTGTCCCTTTTGCTGGAGATAAGCTACACTCCACAGAACATGACGTGATTTACAGCTACAAAATAAACTATCCTCATTGTCACCATCTGATATAAGGGGCCAATTTCGAACTCAGTTAATGTGGGCATTTGGCAGATTGCCAGTGGGGGGAGGATCCTGGATTGAAGCCAAAATTAGCCTTACTCAGAGTAGACACATTGAAAATAATGGACATGATGAACTCAGTCCCATTAATTTTAATGGGTTTACTGTAGTCGACCTTAGACCACATTCACGCCATACATTTAAAGCATTATGATATCACTTTAAACAGCCACGGTTTCCCCCAGAGGATTCTGGGAACTATAGTTTGCTTAGGGTGCTGAGAGTTGTTAGGAGATCCCTATAGCCTTCACTGAGCTACAGTTCCCAAATTGGTTTAACAATCAATCCTTCCTCTCAGGGAACTCTGAAAATTGTATCTCTGTGAGGGTAATGATAATAAGAAGAAGCAGCAGCAGCAGCAGCAGCAACAACAACAACAACAACAACATTTTGAATTGTGCTTAGAAACATAATTGGAGCCAATGTAGGTCTTTCAGGACCGGTGTTATGTGGTCTTGGCAGCCACTCCCAGTCACCAGTCTAGCTGCCACATTCTGAATTAATTGTAGTTTCCCAGTCACCTTCAAAGATAGCCCCATATAGAGCACATTGCAGTAGTCCAAGCAGGAGATAAACAGCACATGTACCACTCTGGTGAGACAGTGCCCAGGCAGGTAAGGTCTCAGCCTGCGTACCAAATGGAGCTGGTAGACAGCTGCCCTGGACTCAGAATTGACCTGTGACTCCATGGACAGCTGTGAGTCCAAAATGACTCCCAGGCTGCGCACCTGGTCCTTCAGGGGCACAGTTGCCCCATTCAGGACCGGGCGTCTCCCATACCTGCCCACCCTCTGTCCCCCCAAAACAGTACTTCTGCCTTGTCAGGATTCAATCTCAATTCGTTAGCCGTCATCCATCCTCCAACCACCTCCAGACCCTCTCACAGGACATTCACCACTGTCACTGGTTCTGATTTAGATGAGAGGTAGAGTTGGGGACATCTCTTAACAACTCCCAGCATCTTCAACAAACTACAGCTCCCAGTGTGGTCATCTGCCTCTGAATGCAAGTTGCTGAGAATCACAATTGGGAAGCGTGCTGGTGCACTCAGGTCCTGCTTGCAGGCTTCTAACAGGCACCTGGCTGGCCAGGGTGAGAACAGAGTTCTGGGCTGGGGGGCATCTGGTCTGATCCAGCAGGGCTCTTCTTATGTTCTCATGGTGCAGTGATATTCTCTTCCTGCTCTGGTGGGTTGCAGCCCAGGCTCCATGCCTGCTATGCTAACAAACACTCCAGGTTGGCAAACATGAGGAAAGATATGCAAACACAAGATGTTGCTCCTCACCAGGGTTGTCTCGCTCAACTTCTCATTGCCTAAGGCTACCGACTCAAGCAGGCTTGTGAGCAGAAGGAACTGAGCCATATCTAGGATGCAGCAATTTGTCAAGAAACACTAGAACTAATTGAGAAGTGAAGCCTTATTCAGGTGTAGCAAACTTCAGGCCTGGGGGCCAGTGGCAGCCCCCAGAGTGAATGGGGGCACTGCACAGCCAACCTTGGCCTGTTCTCAGCCAGTCCCCATCTGCCAGTCTTCTTGCCTAGCAACTGGTCCAGAGGGTAGCACTGACTATCTCCTTCCTTCTTCCTTAGACCCAAAGTTGTCTTCATCAAACTCGACAGGAAGGAGGATGGAGATAAAATTAGTTGACTGTCTGACATTGGCTTTTGCTCCACCTACTGTTGGCCTCCTGGCCTTCTGCCCTACCATTGCCGGTCACCACGGCTGGAGGCTGGATGCAGCCCTCCAAACCCCTAGTTCTTGAGACCTGCTCCAGCTACACACCCTCTCCCCAGTCCATCCACCCCCCAACTGCATCAGCCTTGCTTTGCACCATCCTTGACTCTATTTGCTTAGCTGGAATGTTTTCTTGAACTTAGATAATGCCTCTCATTTGCCTGAATGGGAACTTTCAGCCTAAACTACCTCTCAAGGTTGTTGTGAGAAGGCTAGGGAGAGAGAGAGAGTCATGTATGCCACCTTGAGCTCCTTCAGGAAAAGGAGGGATACTTTATTTGATAATGAATTAATTAGCTGATGTGGCAAATAAATCCTGTGTGTTATCATTCCTCCCCAAGGACGTGCTCTATGGGGAGCTGGCTTCAGGCACCCCACCCATTGGCAGACCAACTCTGCATTACAAAGATGACTGCAAACATGACATGAAGGCTGGCAACACCAACCCTGCTATGTGGGATGACCACAGTGCCTGGAGACAGGCAGTCAGGTTGTGCATCCATAACAGTGATCAGAGGAGGAATGAATGCTGGGCCTGGGAGGAGCACAGAGAGAAGAAACGCCCGGATGCATCTGCAGCAGCACAACTAGATGCCTTCATCTGCCCCAGCTGCAACAAAACATGTCTTTCCTGCGTCGGTGTCTACAGCCACGGCGGGTGCTGCAATCTTCCAGCAGTTTGAATTCACTCCCAGAAGTGCACTCATCTCCATTGTCCCCCAAGACAGATGGACGCCAACAGCAGCAGCAAAATCATTCTTCTTCCTCCCCAATGAGGTCATCCCAATGGTTTCATTGAATTCTGGGGCTGTCTGACTTTTAAAAGAGATGATCCCAGCTCAAAGATCCTTAACAGAGCTATCGCCATCAGAGGGGTCCATCACAGCATCAGGGCTTACTGGGACTTACTCCGAATTGTAACCAAGCTCAACTCCGACAATGACGCAAGTTCCCTAGCTGTGTCAAGAGGACCAGAGACATTTTTAAATGAACACTGAAAAATAGCTGTAGATTTTCCGGTTTGGGAGCCCAGAAACTTTGAGCAAAAGCCAACGTCAAAGAGAGAAGCCAGGCTCTCCCATATCATATATTAGCTTGAGATGAGAATGTCTGTGAACATGTGCATTTTGCCCCCTCTTAGCACAAAGAAAATACAAAGCCAGACTCTGCCGCTACCTGACATTAGCTCTGGCTCCACCTCCTTTTGGGGCTCCCTGCCTTCTACCTTACCAGTCCCAATGGGCATCATAGAATCATAGGGTTGGAAGAGACCATAAGGATCATCTAGTCCACCCCCCTGCAATGCAGGATCTTTTGCCCAACATGGGGCTCGGACCCATGACCCTGAGATTAGACATCCCATGCCCTACTGACTGAGCTATGACTCATATTAGTGGGTGAACAATCCAAAACTGGGTGAATTCTACTTCACAGCATCAGTCACCACAACTTGAGTCCTGCCCCCATGTAGAACTGAGATGGACCAGACTTCAATGGGTCTGTCCATCCTTTAAAAATGGGTAAAGGACCCCTGGCAGTTAGCTCCAGTCGCAAACGACTCTGGGGTTGCGGCGCTCATCTTGCTTTACAGGCCGAGGGAGCCAGCATTTGACCGCAGACAGTTTTTCTGGGTCGTGTGGCCAGCATGACTAAGCCACTCCTGACAAAACCAGAGCAGCGCACGGAAACACCATTTACCTTCCCGCCGGAGTGATACCTATTTATCTACTTGCACTTTGACATGCTTTCGAACTGCTAGGTTGGCAGGAGCTGGGACTGAGCAACGGGAGCTCACTCTGTCAAGAGGATTCGAACCGCTGACCTTCATATCGGCAAGCCCTAGGCTTAGTGGTTTAGACCACAGCGCAACCTGTGTCCCTCTGCCCATCCTTGCTTCAGAGTAATAAATACCAGGGGAACAAACTGCAGTACCCTGCTTATGGAAGCATCCAGCTGACTATTCTGGATAAGAGGATGTTGGTCTGATCCCATGGGCTCTTTTTTACATGTACATATGGGACAGGGGCTAAAATGGAACTCCTCTTTGGGTCCACCAAGACCTTTGAAATTACTTCTTTTATTAAAAACACCAAAAGACTGTGATGGAAGCCTAGCAAATGCAAAGGTCTGGGAAGTGGAGAGAATTCAGGCCCTCCCCACCAATGGTTCACTTTGTTTGGTTTAGATATAAAGTTTCCAGCATGAGCCAGCTAATTAATTTAAATGAAAATGCCACAGCTAATTGTAGCCTATCACCGCTGTGTGGATGCATGGAGATTCCAGTAACACAATGGAAGGCAACAGGTCCAGAGGAGCGATTATCATGTACTGGGCCCATAATCCCCAAAAGGGGGAGGGTGGAATCACACAATAGACTCTAATGGTTTCCAAGGAGCTGTTACTAAACATCAGGTAAATAAAAAATCTTATTGAAATGTAGTTTATGCATTGAGACCTTTCTACTGCAGATGCAAATTGGCAGATCCAGTTGCCTTGAACAAACATTAAGGATTCATAAGGCTGAACCCAAAGACTGCTGCTTTTCAGAAGCATTTTTGGTTTTGTCTGTCAAAACCCCCGCAATCTTTTCAACCAACTATAGGAACACCTCCAAAAATGTCACCTATTCACACCATTTTCTCTTCCCCTTTCTCTCAGATGGGCTTGGTTTCCTCACTTGGCTAAATCTGATTGCCTATGTATCATTGTGATGTCATCCCATTCAGCTGTGCGATTGTTGATTGGCTGGGATCATCCATGAAAGAGGGAGATGCAAATACCAGGAGGCAAAGAATGATGCCAAATAAAAAATAGATGACAATAAATGGGACTGGGAAAGGTGAGCATTCTAACAATCAAAGCATTTTTCAGGAAATATTTCTCTCCTTCCCCAATTCCCACATCTACAGAAACAGAATGAAACATGAAACAGAATAATATAACAAAGGAGGAGGTAGATTCTTACCATCGCAAGTGGAACAATTCCTGCAAAAGTCGCTTGGCTGACAAAGATCTCGGAGACCACCAGCTCGCTCACAGACTCATCTCGGGGGTATTCCACCTGCCAGGTGATTTGCTGGGCCCCCACCAGGCCACTACTGTTGTCTATCTCAAAATCCATCTGAAAGATCTCGTAAGAAGAGACATTTGCCCTGAAAAATTAAAAGGTGGTGTTACTTGGAATTTGAAATTGGGTCATTTTTTTAACATATTACATAAACGTTTCATATTTGGACAGAAAAAGAAAAGACTGAGATTTCATAAATTGTTGCTGGACAGGGGGTGGGCCCCTCTGGCAATCATACTAGAGGGCTTAGATATGCTTGTTGTTGTCAGACCACCTAAATCAGCCAACATGTCCCCTTCTCAGAACAGTAGATCTTCAGATTTTCTAATTGTTCCTATTTCCTGGAGCCAGGCAGCAAGCGTTCTCCTAGGACAGTGATGGCCAAACTTGGCCCTCCAGCTGTTTGGGGACTATAATTCCCATCATCCCTGATCACTGGTCCTGTTAGCTAGGGGTGATGGGAGTTGTAGTCCCAAAACAGCTGGAGGGCCGAGTTTCGCCATCACTGTCCTAGGAGAACTCGCAGGCAAATTTGGAGGGGGTCAAAAGGAGAGTGAAGTTAACTCACCCCTTTCACTGCAGCCCCCAGTTTTCCACAGTGGGAAACAGTGGAAGCTCCTTGCAGCCACCAGTGCTGGCCATCATCCCCACCCCAACCAAGCTTTCTCCGTGCAACATTACACAATGATGCAACACAGTCTCCCTAAAAGCCTCATCATCCCTGACAATTGCCCAGAGAGAGGCTGCGGCTGATAGGAGCTGGAAATCCAACCATATTTGGATGGACACGGGTTCCCTGTCACTGTCCAAGGTCAATAAACTGGCCACATTACGCCCAGTGAAAATGCCCAAGGCAGAATTCTGAGCACCAGAATCCCTAGGGAACACATTTTTCCAGAGCTCCTGAGGCTTTCGAAGGTATGGTATGATAGTATAACTAAAAAACAATACTGGGTACCAGGGAGAAGAGTCGGTGGAAGAAGAGTGGAAGAAATTCAAAGATTATCTACAGAAATATTGTAAAATTAATGAATGGTAGAATGATGTTGGATAGAAATTAAGTGGTTTCCAGCTGTAATGCTTTAAGGGAATATTAAATAAGGGTTATAAATAGTTAAAAATCTATAGCTATTATTTTTAAGATCAAGGATTAGGATAATTAAAGAGGGTAAGGATTTGCTGAACCAACAGATTGAAGTGGAATACAAAAAAAGGGAGGTATGAGGAGGTCCGGGAAACAAGCTAAAGGAAAATAAGTAATGGAAAATCTGTGTGTTTTTAACCATTTTTATTTTGTATTTTTGTTATTTTTTTCACTTTTATTGTAATATTTTAAAAAAAATCTAAATAAATATCTTATAACAAAAAAAAACAATACTGGGTGATTAATACCTCCTTATCATAACCTTGGGGTCTTAAATTTCAGTGGTGCCCCTGCAGTATCTCCAAGGCTCTGGGCCCAATTGCACAGAGGATGTTGGGAGCTTCAGACCCAGAACACCTGAAGAGCCACAGGCTGTGCTCCAGTAGTTCAACACCCTGGAGTAATCTTTGCAAGAGTTGGAATCCATATGCATCCTTATAGACATACACTGGCTCCCAGTACGTTTCTGAGCACAATTCAAAGTGTTGGCACTGACCTTTAAAGCCTTAAAAGGCCTCAGCCCAGTATACCTGAAGGAGCATCTCCACCCTCATCATTCTACCCAGACACTGAGGTCCAGCGCCGAGGGCCTTCTGGCGGTTCCCTCGCTGTGAGAAGCCAAGTTACAGGGAACAAGGCAGAGGGCCTTCTCGATAGTGGCACCCTCCCTGTGGAACACCCTCCCACCAGATGTCAAAGAGTAAAACAACTATCAGACTTTTAGAAGACATCTGAAGGCAGCCCTGTTTAGGGAAGCTTTTTATATTTGATGAATCATTGTATTTTAATATTCTGCTGGAAGCCGCCCAGAGTGGCTGGAGAAACCCAGCCAGATGGGTGGGGTATAAATAAATTAATAATAATAATAATAATAATAATAATAATAATAATACACTTATGGGAGATGCCTAGCTGTGCCAGTGTTATGTATATTTCTCCAACTGGATTCCCTCCAAATGTTCTTCGAGTTCACCAGGGAAGATGGGAGTTGGCACCACACTGGGAAAGGCTTGGAATAGCTAGAGTGTGCAATAGGCAGGAAACTGTGGTCCTCGAAGTGCTCTTGGACCACAACTCCCATCATCCCCAGCCAGCATAGCCAATGGTCAAGGATGATGGGAACTGGGGTCCAGCAAAATCTGGAGGGCGCCACCTTATCTTTCCCTACCATAGGATACTAAAGGGAGTAGGACGTGACGATGTTTTAGAAGGAAAGCTTTTCGTATAATCCTCACGCTGGGGGCAGGTCTGACTCTGGTTGAGTAAAAGGGTGAAGGCTGCACAATTCCAATGAAGGCAGCTTTAAAGTTAAGGACTGGTGATGCCCTTCTTTCCTTTCCGCTGCAGACAATTTGCATACACCAAGCAGGACAGGCATTTGCAAAAAAATAATAATAAACCCAACACAAGGTGCTTGCGTTGTCTTAATCTCCTTTTTTTAGTGGCGCTGCAGAAACAGCTGTACTCACCTGTCAGAGCAGTTCTGTTCTAATTAGGTTTCATGTCTGAGACTGTCATATATATATATATATATATATATATATATATATATATATATCCCCCAGAGGAAACTTCTTACAAAGTGAGCTTACCAGCCACTGAAAATGCTTTACACGTTGGCAGTCATTGAGCCCTCTGAAAAGATTGTGACACTTCTGCCACTCCTTGAACATGGCAGTATCTGGGACACAGAATCCCCCACGGAGAAGACTGCAATCAACCTGTGGCCCTTGTTCCGTGCCTCTTCCCAGGTCGTAGTTATAATGAGCCACAGCACGAAAACTTTCCAAAGTGGATTTATTTTATTTTATTTCACCTCTCGCGTGGTCCACAGCCCTTTTGCCGTCCCGGGGGTCTTTGTTCTAACACTCACCCCATTGACCCTGAGCCTTTCCTAGAGTATGAAGACTGATCCGTACTTCGTTCCCTGGCTCGAAAGGTTATTAACTGTCAGTTCCAAGTTGTGTCTGTCATCAGCACATTCAGGAACTCAGCAAAATCCCCAAGTTTGCAAGGGACCTTCAGAAAAGGCTGGGGGAACTTGTCCAAATCACAGAGTATTAGAACTGTAGAGTTGTAAGGGACCCCGATGGTCATCCAGTCCAACCCCCTGCAATGCAGGAATCTCAACACGTGGTTCCCCCATCCAATTTGAAACCAGGCCAGGCCCTGCT